AAGAAAGTACTACCAACAGTTGAGAGAAAGACCAGCATACACAAACGGAGAAGACTGGTAAATTACAAAGTGAATTAAATACATTAAAGGACGATTTACTGTCTTTTACACCGGGAGGATATATTAACCATGGACCTACTCAGCCCCAGACAACAGGAAGCCCCTTCCAGAACCTGCAGCTAAACCCTAATGCAGACATCTTCAGTCCTGCCAGAAGTCACGTTCCAGACATGAGTGTCAGCAATAAGGGTGATCTAGTACAAAGGAAGCCACAGGAATTCGATGGGAAGGCACCATGGGATGCATATAGAGCACAATTTGAGCTCATGGCGGATATGATGGATGGACAGAGGAGCAGAAAGCAGTGTACCTGGCAACGAGCTTGAAGGGACAACCATTGGAAATACTTGGACATTTGTCAGCAGACGACAGGCACAACTATAGAGCACTGGTAGCTGCTCTAGAACTCAGGTATGGAACTCAAAATCAGCTCGAAGTCTACAGGGCTAGGTTTAGGACGAGTGTCTGTGCTAAAGGGGAGAGCCTACAAGAGCTGGCACAGGATTTAGAAAGTATGGCAAACAAGGCCTACCCAACTGCACCACCCGATGTTCTCAAGCTGTTGCTGAGGGATGAGTTTGTAGATGCCTTGGACAGTCCACAACTGAAGATACAAGTAAAGTAAGCACACCTCTCTACTATGCAGGATGCAATGGCCAGAACTCTTCGATTCGAATCCTACATTAAGTCCAGCACAGAGGTACCAAGATTGGTACAGTCATCAGGATTCAAGGCCAGAAAATGGCAGATTTCAGAAACGTTTGAGGGATTTTCCTAGCGCTGTATCAAACCTGGGCCCAAAAGAGCTTAATGCCAGCAACTACAACACAGGGAAGATGCCATGGCAGGAAAGGCAGCTATCCAGAGAGTTTGTTGGAACTTTGGAGAGCAGGGACATATGAAGAGCCAGTTTAAGAAGAATACTACCAATAAGTCAGCCTCGTGGAGAGCAGTAGTGGTTGATGCTGAGGGAAGCCCACCAACCCCCATCATGAAAGTCCCAACAGCTAAGTGTAAAATGGCTGGCACACATAGTGTCTACGTGAAGGGAAAGTGGATGGCCAAAAGTGCAACTTTGTCATAGATTCTGCATCTCAGCAAAACCTTGTGAGAAAACAAGGTGTTGGATAACAAAGGAGTACCAGAAGCCATACTGAAGTTCTGTGGTGTGACAGGACATTATGCAAGGTTGTGGGGACAAGTGTGGGTAACTATTGAGCTCATGGGCATAAAGAACAGACACAAAGTATACATTGCTGGCATTGAAGACCAATGCATATTAGGGTTGGACTACTTACTACCGAGGCACATAAAATGACGTTTGGCAACAACAAAGGCCAAATTCTGGTAAGCGTTGCTGCATCTGTTGATTTGCATGTCATAGCACTTAGGTCAACTACAATACCCCCTATGTTAGAGAAGATAATTTGGGGTACATTAAAAGAACATCCCCAAGGAAGCACAATGCTTGTGGAAGCAGTGGAAGACCCATCCAGGCCAGCAGATTTGAAGATTGGAAGGTCACTTGTGGCAGGTCAGCAAGTAGTACCTATAACAGTGGCCAATTTCTCTAAATGTGACCATACACTTAAGGAAGGGGCATTGTTGGGTGTGTGCCAGGAGGTAGATCCAGTCAATGGTAAAGCAAGAAATACAACTATAAAGAAAGGACATCCTCTCCCCTATGAGAAGAGCATAGTTCATTTGGCATCATCACAGGGTCTTCAGGTAAAAGAACTTTTGGCAAATTATGCAGACGTCTTTTCGAAAGGAGATCATAACCTTGGCTGCACAGACCTTGTGGAGCACAGAATAAACACAGGCAATCACTGTCCGATAAAGATCCCTCTGAGGAGAATAGCTCCAGCAAAGCGATATGACATAGAGAAGGTCATGGAAGGTCTAATTAAGGAAGGGATACT